ATTTTTTGTCCAAGAACGTTGGACAATTCTGGGCCTCATTCATAATACACAATTAGCCATTTTTTCTCCCTGTCTATGCTGCTGCTATTGTGATGCTTTTTGCTTTATGTTGTGATTTATTTTAAAATGCTTTTAAATTGTTTAAGTTTAATATCTTTTTAAGGGGTGGGTGGGTTTTGGAGGTTGTATGCATTTTATTGCAGTTTTAATGTTGTAAGCCACTCCAATTGCGTTGCAGAGGGGCGGGATATAATAATAATAATAATAATAATAATAATAATAATAATAATAATAATAATAATAATAATAACAACAACAACAACAACAATAATTATACACCATGATTCTGCTTTAACTGCTACAAAATTCTGGGATTTGCAGTTAAGAGAGAAGTATGATCTCCCCAAACTACAAAATGGCAGGATTTCACAAAATGCAGCCACAGCAGGGAAATGTGGAATATATACCTATGTAGTGTAAAAGGGCCCCAGAAAAAACATCTGCTGCTGGAGATATCACTTCAGTTTGCTTAAGAGATGGGCTGGCCATGCTTACTGACTGGAATAAAAATACAGTTACATTTCTACAGACAAAAGGACTTTCAGTGAAGCAGCTTCTCTTCATACTCACTGTAAGCCGTTGCAGAGTCTCGATCCTTCTGCTCTGTGGTGAGAAACATGGTGAGAGCAGAATATGCTACCTGGAACAACTATTAAAAAGGATATATAAGTACCTAGCACCATCATTATCAGTTTAAGAAAAGACCCTTACACCTATTTTTACAACACTTTTTATTTTAATCTGTGTTTTATTAATAGCTGTGCTTCCATTAATTTGTACGACCCATTTTAAAGAGTACAGGAGTTGCTAAAATGGATGATGTGCTTATATTTTATCATTTAGTGCATCATCTATAAAGGCTATTATGCACCAGGAGTTAGGAAATCTTTGACAAGAAATGTGGCTTGGAAAACTTTCAGTACAAATAAATGTGCCCCAGTCAGGATAATACTTCAGGTCAGCAAATACTCATGGTAATCTGAAAGCTACCTGTTGTAATTGGGCAGATGAATCTTGTTGTTATTAGGTGTACTGTACCTTTCTTCCAAATAACTTGAAAATAAACTTGAGGACAGGGGTTTAATTTTGTCCTTGAGCCTTGCAGTAGCAGTTCCCTCCCCAGCGCAGGATCTTCAAAGTTGTTCTAAGATAGATGTTTCTAATGCTGCTCTATCCTGTTTCATTCATGGGATTTTATCAGACATCCATGCCCTATTGTCTTAAATTTGCACCCCTGTATATTCTTACCATTTCTTTTACCTTTCTTCCCCTAACTCCAAAGTATACATTACAGACAGAAAGATGGAATATTATCACAAGGGCATAGCACTAGGAGATCACCGTCTGTGAGTCCTCCAAGAAGTCTCAATCTTCTGATAAAAGCACGCAAAGAACTCTGTAGTGCTCATTCCTTACTTTCAAAGCAGGTTTTTAAATAATGTAAGCAAAAACTAGTTGTTTAGTTCCCAGATAAGCTAGAAAGAGTGGTGGCAACAAGTATTTAGCATGTTAGAGCAAAGTGTTGCAGCCTTGTCTTAAAGAGTTGCTTGGCACTCTAACCTCCACACCTTCATGTGTCAAAGAGAATGGCTCTATTCTCCCCTTTTTCCCTGTTTCCTCTGGCAAACGATGACTCTATCCTTCCTATAGGTAGGAATATTATATCATAGTAGAAGACATTCCATCATGTTAACCTTCACTCACAATCTAGAGTGGTGTATTCAGACGAATCTGTCTTGACAAGTTGTCACAAACAACCAAGCCAGAGTGGCTTGACTTGATTTGCTATCTGAAGAGCCTGGGATCAGCTTTGGTAGGCAGTGGGAATGGATGAAGCAGAAGCTGGTAATAATGCTGGTTAAAGAAAAAAAGCGATAGGCTGGGAAGGTTTAGCTGGGGACTCTTATCATTTCCCAGTTATTGGTCTTCTGCTGTTAATGATATGCAAAATGACTATAGACTTTCCACACTATTGGGAACATTAAAATGTGTGTTATCTCTGTGTGTACATCTTGTTGTTAAGTGCTGTCAAGTTGACTTTGGGCCTTTGCAGACTGCCAGAAATAGTGCAAATTGAGTCCACTTTAACTGTCCTGGCTCAGTGCTAGGGAATAATGGGAATTGTGTTTTTTTCTGAGACATTGAGCCTTCTCTGTCAGAGAGCTCTGGTGCCACAATAAAATACAGTTCCTATGATTCCCTAGCACTGAGTCAGGGCAGTTAAAGTGGACTCAATTTGCACTATTTCTGGCAGTCTGCAAAGGCCCTTTGACTTATGTCTAACCAATGAATGAGAGACTTCCAAGTCGCCCTATCATCAACAGCCCTTCTCAGGTCTTACAGATTCAGGGCTTTGGTTTCTATGACTATTTCTCTCCATTTT